GCGAGGCAGACCACTCCAGGATCTTCTTGGCCCAGTACATCCTCAGAAATCCATGCATCTTTCCCTCACGTACCATCTGGAGCTACAAGAGAATGAACCATTAACTCTGCAGTACACGAGACAGCTAGCTCCTCACCTGAGCTGCGTTCCAGAGAGTGTCGTGCGTTTTGGCCTCTTCAAACTCTATCTCTGAGTAGATCTTCTCCCTCGTCTCCCTCGTGGTGTCTCAGAGTGCCCCGCGCCCACTGAGGCGCCCCCTGGATGCTGTCGTAGTTCTTGTTGTATAAGCAGAAATTGTCACCTAGCTCCCTGCGAACTATTGCCTCCTCCAGGAATGCCTCAACAGATGCCTTGTTCCTGGCAGTTTTAGCCTGACGCACACTCAGAGCTGCTCGCTGAGCACTCACTTGACCTAGCATGATGTAACCAACAAAACATTTTATAATTAAACCTCACCGAAATGCAGCCATGGCGAGAGGTTGCTCAGAGCATCTTCATTTGGATCGTTTCTCTTGGGGTCATAGAGTGCCAATCTCTTTCTGCAAAATTCCTCCAGAACTCTCATGCCAGCCTTTGTGCCAGGGGTGGCCCAGGAGACTGGGGGAACACTAGTGTCCACCTGAAGAGTGGAGTAGGCCTTCTCCCAGTCCACTGGGAGAAGGCCCCCAGGCAGAGGATGGGGATGCTCAGTTACGACTGGGAACTCCACCAGGTATGTTGACAGCTGCCTTGTGATCTTGCCACGTATTGTGCGTGCTGCGTACTCCTGCTTGTCTGAGGTCACCCAGCAAGGCACGACATTGTGAGCATCCACCTGTGTATCTGGAACAGTTAGAGGCTGTCTATTGCTATCAGCCACAGCTCTACCTGCACCAGTGGGACTGCCAACTTGTCCAGACTCCCAGTCACTCCATCCACCCAGAGAGAGGGGAGCCTCAGTGGAGAGAAATCACACACAACAGCAGACACCTGGTGCTGGGTCACCAGAGAAGGGACCAGCTCTGGGGCCTGGCCCAGGAGCAGACAGAATGAAATCCTCTGCTGCTGAAGACCCTAAGGAGTCATACCATTTCAAACAGGGTTTGAAATGTGAATTGTTACCTTCTACCTTCTCTACTTCTTTGAGACCTTCCAACATGAAGTTGAATTGTCTTATGGTTGCATCAAGAAATCTTGTTACAAGACAGAAACACACCAGTAGAGGCACGCGGTGTTTCAGAGCCAGCTTTTGACTGTACACCAAAGCCCAGTTATCTGCAACATTGTAGCTATAGCTATATCGAACCCGTCTGACTTTACCTTGTACCCGCTGATCCCTGGACATCCAGTAGAGCACACGTCCAGCAAACTTCTCCAAACTTTTGACAGCTCCCAAGATACGTTTTCGCTTCGTCTCGAATCCTTCCACTTCCAGAACATCCATGATGCACGTTTTGAGCTCTTTCTCGCGCGCGACGCGCATGCGCACTACAGCCAAGATGTCGAGTAGTGTAGAGAAGAGAAAGAGAAGAGAGTCAGCCAGTTGTGGTACTACCATCAGCTACCAGTACCCCAGTGGTGGCGTGGAGGAAATACTTCGACCAACTCTAGTGGTCAGTGGAGGACGTAGCTACAGGAAACTGACAGACGTGGAGTTTGGACGGCGAGGGAGAGAAGAGGTAGAGAGGCCGAGAGACTGGAGCCTTCAGATGGGTTTGTGGAGGAGGAGGAGAAGGAGACAGTGTATAGAGATGATGTGTATGATGAGGGGGAGGACTTGGAGACTGAGTGACGCGCTAGTTAGTAGAAGAGGAGTATGAGTAGATGTGGTTATAGAGAAGATGTAGTAGTAGAGTGAGGGTAGACGTGGAGTAGTAGAGGTAGACGAGTAGTCGGAAGAGCGCGCAGCAATGCGAAACTACAGACTGAAGCTGCCTGTGCCTCAGTTTTCTTCCAGTATGATGCATTGTGGAGAGAGACGAAGGTCGGATTAAGAACAAGAAGGGTATAGAGAGAGACACAGAGTGTCACCTGTGGCTGGCTCTGCAGGGGAATAGAAGAGATGTTGATATATAACTGAAAACACTTTGGACATGGTACAGCAGTTTTGAGCTGCTTTTCTTTCAACCCCCGTTAGTGATTGAGGTCCAGCCAAGTCAATGTGGCAGATAGAAGACAGATGCCAAGAGAGAGTGGAGAGTAGTGTTGGACACAGAGAGCAGGAGGACACCACCACACTTCATCCGCATCCCTCTCACTGTGCCCACAGCACGACAGAGGTCTCGCTGTTACAATATCTTCTGGTCACTGGAACTCTGCAGCCAGGTAACGCTAACTGCGCAGACTGACTGACTGTGATATGAAATGTGTTCTCAGGGAGGAGGGCTTTGGGCAGAGGGTCCAGTTCACCTGGGAAGTTCCCTCACTGTCGGGAGTCCTGTGGATTTTTTTGAAGAAGAACCGGTGGTGCGTCCCTACCATATTACTGGTGTTCCATACTGTGACACTTATTATAGGGAGAAGGCAAACCGCCGAGGTGGCAGTGGTGGAAAGGGGACAAGCTATTGCAATGGCCTCAGTAAACAGAATGCAGACGTTGTTGTGCTATATTTGTAGTTTGTGTTCGAAGCGTTGTTGTATGGGCCATGGAGTCTCGTAATTGGGGTATCAGAGGAATTGTCACGGGTTGACTTGGGCTCAATCTTGGGGGTTGTATCCACATTGTAAAAATACTATTGTAATTGTTTAAGAGCACTTGGGGTAGCTAGAATGTTTGTTAATTGGGGTAAGGGATGGGTCATGGGGGAGATATGTTGGGTAAGGGGGAATGGCATGTGGTAATCTTGGGTTAAAAAATAATGATCATATGTAATTGGTAGGGTAAGAATGTTGGAGTTGGGGTAGGGGGAAGGGAATTCTGGTACTTGGAATCAAATCGGCTGCCCCCCTAAACTCACCA